ACAGAAACAACAGTTGTTCAAAGTAGTTACCATTTTAATATTATTTCCTGCAAAATAATTTACTAGTAAGAGCTGTCCATTAAAACTCATACGTCCATTATAAGTCAAAAGGTTTGCTGATGTACTTGCCTGTGAATTATAACATTGAATATCACAATCATAAAAAAAGCTAAGTGAGAACTTTTTTATTGGTGAAAAACTTGTTAGAAAACCCACTATTAAATGGTATACAACTAATTTCACATTAAATAGTTGATTTGTCTTACCTTATTAATCGATTAGGTATACGGCTACTGTATAATTTACAATTATAAATGGTTTACCCAACACAAATGGGATTAATACTACATTGGATAACATTAATAATATCCCTATCCAATTTTAATATCAGTAATCTGGGCACAAAAACCCCTAACGAAAATTGATAACAGTATTACATTTCTAGGCTATACAATTCTACAATATCTGAGCTATTCAGGCTACCTTTTTCACTGACCTGTTTGGATTACTTAGGTTGTGTTAGGAACTAATATACAGGGTGTTTTTAAAAGAATGCCGAGATTTTAAATGGTAATTGATTAAATACTATTCGAGGTAACTAAACGTTTTATACGTCAAATTGAAGCTAAAATAACTAAGTTTTGTTTCCTGTGTAGCAAGGGAGGAAACTTTGACCTTGGTATGCGTAAAACAGGTACGGGCCGCTATTGTGACTCATACGCCTGATGCCAGTCGCCAGTACGACATTTACGGCGCAACAGAAGGCAAAGATTGTAATCTGTAGTTCGCAGAGTTTATATCCATTGCTAAATTTAACTAAATTTTAATCTACTTGATGATAAAGAAAGTTGAAGCTGGCTTGATGAGTTTCGTGGCACCGAAGTGTTTTGAAAAGACATTCACCTGGCCGGCTAAAAACAAGCGATGACATAGTCAAAGAAATCCGACAATTCAATAAAATATAGTCTTTGTGCCGAAAAAGATTCAGTTAAGACATCAGCTAAACCTGCCAAACGCCCTACGCGTACAGACTTTGCCAATTTTACGCTCATATAAGATAAAATTTGAATTTTAATCAATCATTCCGAATTGTATGAAAGAATGAGAAAAAAACTTTATTCTTTGCCTTAAATTTGACGTTTAAATCGTTTAATTATGTATCTTGAATAGTTAACGAACAACGACCGTTTGAAATCCTGGCATTCTTTTAAAAACACCCTGTATTTGGTTTTTACCCCCTAATTAACACTATTCTCTACCCTCAACACATTAACACATATTTAAACACAAAGGTTGTGTAAAACAATACGGGATTTTATAACCCCCCCCCCCTTTCAAAACTGTAAAATGTATACCCAGACGAGAAACCTATTCTTTGTTAAAAGTACGTCACTTTATAGCAAATAAAACATGAAATTCATAAAAGAAAGGTTTAACGTGTTTCAAGGACAAGCAAATATAATCCTAGTATATTCTAATAAACGTAATATTCTAGGAATATATTCAACAGCTGGTGTGTTTAGCAATATTACTCACACAGACTCGACACACCTGTCACTGCAGTATCTTTCGAACAACTGGCGCTATCTGTGGTGATTCAGTCTCTCAAACAAGTCTAGGAGAGGCATGGGCGTCAGATAACATTTAGTACTCAACCTGGCTTTCCCAACGTGCAAAAGCAAAACTCATCTCCTCACATGTGGATAAATCAATGTAGTAGCACGGTATACTTGATGGCAGATTACATCTTTAAAATATGTAGAAAACCTTTAACAATCCGTAGTAGTGATTATTATATCATTGCGATCACTATTATATTATAGTGATTATTATATAATGCGTGAAAATAAAGGAGTTTCTTAAGGAGTTATTAAGTTACCAGCTGAAGAGATTGCTAGTAGTATGGTTTATTCCCAGTTTTAGGCCTTTTTATGACACAAGTTGCAAACAACGGCCAAAAATTGTGTTTAAACTAGGCATAAAACATACTCAGATCCAGGCCTAACATTAAAGATGAGGTCTAGATCATCTAAGAACCCTAGTTCTTAGCTTACCATTAATAGTCATGACATTAATTCTATTTTTGACAAGCATCGAGAGACAAAATATCAGTCGACTTTATGTTATTATGAATCATTTAGTACGGTAATTCACTAGTTATACCAGGCCTAAGAGGGATATTAAAATTTAAACTCAACTCCAAATCTTATGTTTAACCCAGTAGATTAAACATAATAAGCCCTAACCCTAATATAGGGTTATATTTAAGCCCTTGATGAGAAGCTACCAACACCTTTTTATCCATGCAAATAACTCAACGTTTTTTAAATGAAACTTTTGTACTTTTTTTTGTTTAAATGTCCGTGTAAAAAATCTTTCAAAGAGAAATATTTTTTTTACATTTTATAATGTCTTTTCGTCCATCGTGCTTCACCATAGTAATTTTTTCCTCAAAACTATTTTAGAAACATATTTTTGTCAATACAAATTTCTTTATAAAGCTTAGTACCGTGTAACGTAACACGAAAGGCCAATTCGTTGTGACATTTTTTATTGAATCACGTGCAGTTGAGCGACTCGTGTCACGGACAACATAAATTGTTTGAAACGATCGTTACGTGATGATTTCATTGGTTCCACCTGTTCACCATGATTGATAACTATCGATGGAGATTATTTCAGTCAGGGACGTTTTGGACAGTGAAGAACAACTGTAATAAATATTTGAAAACGGTCAATTTAAGTGAATTATTATGTAAGAGTGGTAGGTAGGTTATTTCCTCTTTCAATTTTTGGTAATAGTACATATGTGATAAATATGTAAATTGGTGATTGTGAATCGTCAAATTGGAATCTTATATCTATTATATTTTAGATTGAAATGTTTAAATGTTATTTTTTCTAAGATTGGTTATAATAATTAACGTAGAGTTTTTAGTTAGTTATTTGCTTAACTAACTGCTTTATAGCTGTTTTTGGGACTGAAAAAGTTAACTGAGTTAAGTGACAAGATATGACGAATTTTTTACTTTAGTTGTGTAGCCGTTGTGTATACAGAGTTTTTTTCTCTAAAATATTTCACCAAGATGTGTGACATCTTCAGGAAGAATTTAATAGTGTTTTGTTATAATATATACACTAATATTGTATGCGGCACAACGTATGTTCATGTTAATGCATTTTCGTGAAGATATGTTGGGGGATGAAAACTTTCAGGCGTGCGCCTTTAATGAACTTAAATTAACATTTTTTTCCAAACTTTCAGAATTTTTCAGGATATAAAAAGAGTGACATAAATGTGACACATAGATAGACACATCACATAGACATAGGGTGAAAACCCTTAACTCCTGTTTATTGCTTGAAAATAGTGCATTGTGGCTCTAGAGCGGGAATGAATAATTTCCAATTCCCATTAATAGTTATTTAGACAGGTTTTAGAACAACATCATAATAATTGATCAGATGTATCCAAATGAATGTTTACTTGTTTTCTAATAAACCATAAACTAAGCATAATTTATACTAACACTTTTTTCTTAAACAAGTAGCACCCTTGTTAACCAAATCGGGTTATCCGAAGCCCAGGTTAACCGAAGTGGTTTCATAAAATAATACAGTGCTTTAAAATACTTTAGTAACTTTATTGTAAATTTTAAGGTATTAAACCCATTAAAACAACCCATTATAACATTTTTGTGGCTGAAATAAAACACTAAATTATACTAAAATTGTCTAAAATTCAATTTGTTCTACACACCGTGGTAGTACATAGGCAATTTTTTGCATATTATGGCTTAACCAAAAAAATAGGTTATCCGAAAGAGCTCTCCCTCCTTATTTAGGTTAATTGGGGTTTACCGTATTGGAGTGTAGTATGATTAAGTCTTCGGTAGATTTGTCAAAAGATGGCTTAGCTTTACGACGATTAGTTCACTGTTCTTTCTCTGTAGTTTGTGTCCACCTGATTACAAATAAAGAAATTGCTAATAGACAAAATGTTTATATTTTATTACAAGAAATATTGATAATTCTTTTTTAAGCTATGGACAAACTTAAATGGTCTGTAAACCTAATGGAAACATTGGCCATTTTACGATCGGTTACAGTTGAGGAAGATATTATCTACGTTAAATGGGAAAAATCATATTTAGAGTATATTTAATACCGAGCAAAAAAACTATGTACGTAAATTTGACAAAAAAACAGAAACAAAACGTTGATTTCGTGACCAATAGAGTAGTAGTCACTGGTAGTACAGTGTAGCCTACCCACTGTATCGTGTGTTTGGTTAGCCTATTGCATTGCATTATTATTTATCATTATTATCATGCCTTTGTTATATCTTTACATATTCTTTTAGAGCAATGGTTTTGGAATAGTCCAGATTCAACGTAAGGCATTTTCCATCCGTATTTTGGTCATTTATAAACTGTTCTATGTAATATTAACAGCATAAGTAAATGAATAGCTAGATGGATCTAGATATAACAAAATACCATACTAGTCATAAAAAGGCTTGTAAAGAATTTTTTTTATTTTTAACTCTGGTAAAAACTTTGGTTGACCTTTGAATTACGTACTTTACTGGTAATCTACCGGTAGATAAGGAATATTGGTATTTCCTATGTTGCACAACCGTCTACTTATCTAATCTAAACCACTTACTTCTAAACCATTACTCATGTTCAGCTGCATAGACACCTGTTATAGTTAGTAGGTTACAAACTAAATCCTATATTTTAATAAGTTATTCTAAAGATTCATTTTGTTAACAAACATTTGGAATTGATAAAGCGATGGAATAATCTAGCCTATACCAATTAAAACCTTTCTTTTATTTCTTTTACCTGAACCATCGCAACCAATAATGTTAAATTTTTTGTTTTGATGTTTAATTTTTTTTATTAGTAGTGATTTCTCATTATTATTTCTAATAAGGTTCAAGGAAATACCTTATAATATAGTAAGGTTTGGAGTCAAGGAATTAACAAGGCGTATTTTGAATACAAGACGTGTTTTAATCATAAATAAAACACAACTTTTATTATATACAAAACAAGCTGCTATGATAAAAGACTAAACAAATCGATTGTGTATACAACTATAAGTTGATTACTACAGTTATAAATGTTATTATTGTTATTTTCAGAAAATATTTCATCCGAACATAAAAGAATATAAACATATATACTAGAATTGTTTCTTAAAGGTGTGTATTAGACACTGAGGGTGTACTGATGTGTGATTTTAAATACTGATAACGATTTTAACCAATAAAATTACTATTGAGGTGGCTTAAATGTCGTGTTCATTTAAAATCGGCTTATAAAAATATACAAAAACATTATTCCAGGAGAGACAGACCTTTTACAGAGGTGGACAATTATAATCCAACTAAAACTTTATTGACACTCTGTTTCAGTGTGGAAAGGAAAACGTTTGATTCATTAGGTTTCAATAAGTTGTGGATTTTATATTGTAAGCAGTAATTGTATAAGTTTGATGATTAATATTCAACCAAAGATCTCCGGAAAATTGTTCATAGTATACAACAACGATAAGGTCACAGTTGAGTTTCACATATGATCTTCCATTTCCTTGTAGAAGCTGTAGACTACGACAACGAGATATATTTGTATAACTGAAATCAAATTTGAACAACAATTTATACTACATATTAAAACTACTACACAATACAATTTATACGTATACTTAAGCAGTTAGCATAGTCAAAAGGAATAATTCAGCCAGAACATTCTGTTTACATTCAAGGTAAGCTATAAAGGTTTGAAATAAAATTCAAATGATTAAACAAAAGATGCTGTAAACAAAATAGACAGTTCGTTATTTATTAAATTTCTAGAGTACCAGCTGTTATATATAAATATATATATGGTTTACCATTGTTAGGTTAACATCTTTTTAGTTAATTTTTTACTGCTTCGGGAATTATTCAACAAAATCGTTAAAACCGAATAGCCTTATACACCGAAAGTACCCCAAAGATATTTTTCATAAATCCACAAACAAAATTTTAATACCAAATGCTTAATCAAAAGGCTTAATATTTCAAAATGAGTTTATTTGGAAAACAATATTGGTAGCCAACATGGATAATTAATTACGATTGTTCGAGAAACTGTGTCCTGAAAATCGTTATCTTTGTCCAAAGCATGATTTTTTTTTAGATTTATAAACGTTAAAATTTTGGGAATCCTTCACGCAACATGCTAAATCAAACACCCGATACAATTTCAAAGCCTTATAACATTTCCCTTTACATTTTCCTAAATGTTGAGTTACTTTTAGGATGAAAAATATACGATCGATATGTATGCCTATGATGCTATCTATTAAAAAAGTATTAAAGTATCGATACTGAATGAAAGGAATATTTTGTTATTAATACTCACGCCACATGATAATACTAAAGCTGATCACCATAGCAACGTTACTAAAGGCTGCGTAGATGAGCAGAACAATCACCATGATAATATTAATGGCAATCAACGCCGCTTGTAGAAAGACGTAAAAGTATACAGTTTTTCTGTGGTGCTGCAAATATTTCAGATGTATTAAAATAATATTTAAACACTTTACCCAGGTAAAAAATTGGGGTTGTTTTAAACTTCTATGTACTTCATATTTAACTTTACGTTTTCTTGTAAAATAATTTCATACGTCTGATTGGAGTCTAAAATAAATATAAGGACATTTATATAGTGCAATAAATGCAAATATATATAAATATAAATAAATAAATATACATATACACATATATATATATATATATATATATACATATATATATATATATATACATTTTTGTGTTTTGGGTATGCTACTCCTGGGGAGGGCATACCGGTAGTGGGGTATAGCTGACGATCTTAGTGCAACATTGGTAACGATTGGTAAGCGCTTTTCATGTAAGTATCTACAAGTCTACATTGTCGGTTACTGTCGGTCGTGTATCACAAACTGAGTGGCACAAATGTGGCTCTACCACGGACGTAGATATTTCGTCACCACTCACAATTTAATTAAACAATTATGGATCCGCATCTCCCATTTCAAAGTATTTTTTTGCCATTAAAATTCGAGTTTCTTTGTGTTAGGAGACAGTTGTGTTAGGAACCATTCACGAACAAATTCGATCCATATTCAAATGATCATGAAGGATATTGTGAACACTTCCATGAGCTAAATGTACCTTAAATGCAATTTCATCGATTGTTAATTTCCGATTTTCACGCACAACTGTTCGTACTCGTTCTATGTTTACGCCATTGACTGCTGTTGAAGGACGTCCACTACGAGGGTCATCATCAATGTTTTCACGGCTTTAACGACCGTTTGTGCCACTCATAAACTTGATTTTTCTTCGTCGCCTCTTCAACTATAAGCTTAAATAAATAATTTAAGGGTCTCACTAGAAGGCTTTTCTTTAAGTAAAACACATTCACATACTGTTAAGAAAATGACATTTTTCAATGCTGGTACACGACCGACAGTAACTGACAACATAGACTTGCAGGCACACGAAAAGTGCCAATGCTGCACTTGCACTACGGCCCGTCAGCTATACATCCACTACGAACCGATATGCCCTCCACAGGAGTCGTACCAACTACTCAAGGTGAATGTCCCACTGGCGATCTCGCTAAATGTCAGAAATTTATTCCAAGAATTTGTTTACTGTTATATGTAAAACGTGTATTTTTCAAGAGTCCGCATTTGGTGGCACTATTTATATGAGCAGCAGAACTAACGAAAACAGGTATTGAGTAACAAATGACAAAATGACAAATAAATAACTAAAACAATTCTTACCGTATACACGCCATAAAGTAGTCCTACGGCCACCAATACTTGCAAGCACGCATAGATAATGCTGGACCAGGAACCATCGGCGGTTGCTGAAAAGTTAGAATGAGTAAAATAATAACAAATATTTAGTAAAATTACATAACTAATTCTTACATTAGTTCTAACTAATTGTTAACTTAGTTATTAACTCGACATTATTGTAAATATAGGCCTAATCATTTATTACACGTTTTGCCTTCATATTGTACAAAATGACACGTTGATATTGCCAGAAATATAAAGTAATTTACAAACCTAAACGAAGGTTTAGGTGCATAACGACAAAACTGTTATAAAAGCATTAATTATATGTTTTTTTTTAATAATATAAAATCATTTCAAGAGCTATAAAGTTTACGCAAATGGCTGTAATAAAATGTCATAAACTATTTGTTGTCCAACCGAAGAATTATAGCTCATTATGTCATCAACTCTTGCAGATTATATTGTCGATATCAAGAATAGTTGACGCCTCACAACCCATACATTTAAACGTTATGAGTCATGTTGATAAAAGTCAAGTAGTGGTACTTATTTCAAATATATCAATAAAATTACTTACAATCTAGTTCACTTTGTTGTCCTGTAGACCTCGTTGTAATGTTGGCAGCTACGTTTAAAATTCCAAACACCTAAAAACTTTTACATGTAAGTTTTACGACAAAAATAATATTCATAAGTAGCCTAATTAAACAAAAATTAAAATCATAGTATGCCCTGCCAGCTGACATGTCTTACTTTAATGTAGTACTTAAAGTACTAGAGATGAGCCAAACCCCAGATTTTTTGCTGGTTTAAAAATTCTATCGGAACACAAAGAAGGCTATCTGTAATATCTTGGCTTACGCCTTGTAAATTTAATTAATCAGCTGACTTTTAAAATAAGTTTGTTTATAATTTTTGTTCTTTGTTGTTTTTCTGATGCTGAGCTTAATACAATGTTTTTTTTTTATGTTCCTGAGTTTTTATATTTTATTAGTGATTTTACACTATCTAAAGATATTTCATACATCTCGTTCTAGTAATGAATTAAAATGCCTCTAAAGATATGATCATGGTTTTGCAAAGTGAGTAGTTAATGGAACAAACAAATTTGTGAAATAAAAACGTCACTCCTTTTTCATACCAAACACACCAGGTTAGGTTAGGTTAGGTTGAAACAAAACATTTCAGACTAAAATAAATCATGTAATGTACCAATCACCTAACCTAACCTAAAATAATCTAGTGTGGTGTATAATAGAAAACCCCTGCTGTGGTTAGGGTAACAGGAGGGTACGAAAAAACCCTACAAGAATTCAAAACCTAACTGATTATTACCACAAACCAAAATGAAGTTAAAAAAATTTATAAATAAAAAACTTTTTAAAACAAAACGTTTTTAAACGCACTAAAAAGTATAAAATAATTTATAAATATGTGGAGAGTATAAATGCTTTTAAGATTTAAAACGAAAAACGTGGGGTGCATGCAATAGATAATTTGCAATTACCGAATTACCTTCACCTATTGAACTAATGTATTATTATCAGTTGCATGCACCCCACGTTTTTCGTTTTAAATCTTAAAGTAATTTATACTCTCCACATAATTATAAATTATTTTATACTTTTTAGTGCGTTTAAAAATGTTTTGTTTTTAAGGATTTTTTTATTTATAAATTATTTTATACTTTTTAGTTTTTAATGTGTGTGGATGTTAAATATATTTCAAGCATCTATATCAGACTAGCAGAGTACCCGTCCTTCGTTCGGGGTTGGCATATAAGTATAAAATGCTTATTGCAATTATGGGTGAGGACATGGTTTAAGAAAGTTTGGTTCTTTTGTTCTACTACCACTGCCCCTGAACCATAGAAAAAAGTAAAGGTCTCATTATGTACCACAGCTTTTTGTTGCTAGTTGATTCAAATTAGCTGTTGTCATAAATGTAAAAAAAAAAAAAAAAAACAATAGTGCTGCACCCTGTAGGTAAACCTTAAAACCTCTTAATGCTTTTTAATATCATCATAGAACTAACTTGTGCAGTTGAAACAGCTGAAAATTTTTTTTAATTCCTTTTGGATATATTTTGATCAAACTTGAAAAATTTATTTATTCTATTCTAAGCTAATAGTATTTTCCTAAAATCACACTTCGTAACCCTCCCTATAGCAGCATAACCTAGATACTCGTTAAACCTAATGTTATTGAATTAGATTTAATTAAAAATAGGCTGCAGGTGTGCTGTGGCGAGGGTATTATAGAATTGTAATTGATGTAGAAAGAAGACTTTGTGGTAGTACATGATTAACTCTAAGTTATATAAGATACTAAAAAATCAATCCCGTCGGTCCCAATTAGTAGTGTCGGTCGCTTAAAAATTTGACTGGCGGTACTGCAACCAGCGCTACTATTCGTATTCGCTAGTAGCTATACCCGTGCCTTACAACAGGGTCAGTATGCAAAAGAGTTAATGCTGGTTCTTTGAAAATTTAAAATGGTTTCATTCCCTACCATTTATTTTAGAAACGAAATTGAACTGTATTAGGCTACTTAACTTGATAATAGGTCCAGTACTTTTTTGTTAACTCATACTGTGAATACTTATTTAGGCTAACTAGGATACGAAACCAATTATATATTTTAAGGTATAATAAAAGAATCTGTTTAATGGTTTGGACTGTAAACGAAAAGCTATCACAATAGCTCCAAACCTGTCAATAGTGTATTCTAAAATATTTTAGGGAAATGACAATCAGGCAAATGGAAATTCGCTTAGTCTATAGGTTTGCTGCAGCAGGAATATTAAATTGCCGATTGCACAAAAATAAATCTAAAACGTAATTCTCATAAAACTCAGAAAAAAGGCTTAGGTTGATACGGCAATGATTGTAGAATCTTAATTATTTCCTATATCCATGAATAATTTATTTTAACAATGAAATATTCACTGTAAAATATTATTACAGCATATCACAAATATTATAAAAGACATAGTATAATTGATTATAAACATAAACAAATGATGTAGCTGAAAGAATCCTATTATAATGAAATAACATTAACATATGGTTTGACAGCTCCATTTAAGTTGTTAAATAATGTTTACATTTAGGCTAGTGACATCATTATTTTAAATATTATCCTTACCCTCTCTGTTCTAATATTCATGCAGTATTTAAATGAGTTTTTGAACCAGCTGTGTGGAATTGTGAAATAAAAATTCAAATGACTGCTTTTTCTGCTTGTTTACATTTTTAAACTATGTAGGTTTGTTCTTTGTTACCATGGATACCATCAATCAATATTTACTTTTAAATCTCTCACCTTAAATTTTTGAAAGCCCACGGGGCAGAGCCCTAGGACAATATCAAAGCAGGAATAGTTCTATATGTATCCTCGGAGCTGTAGCTTCATTTGTGTGCAATTTGGGCCCAGTCTGTTCAGTAGTTTTTGAGATTGTCTCATACAAACACACACACAGACACCACCTCTTCTTTATAATAGTATAGAAGATAGATTAACACAGAGGCATGTGGAAAATCTAAGGCTTATTTGAGTTTCTTTTCATATAATTATGTATTACATTGAATGTATGGCCTACCTACTAACTATAAATATATCAATCTATTTAATTTATTGTTTACTTTATAGAATACTAAATAAATAACAATAGACATTATTAACAAACACCATTATACATGTAATCAGATTGATTATCTTTATTTTGAAAATTTTTCTTGGGAATTTCTTGGGAGCATAACATGTACCTCTTAATCTCTGCTCTTCAAACCGTCAAATTAAGGTATTCACAGCTGACTTAAATTAATTGATATATTTACATTCTTTCAAAATGTAAACATGAAAAATTTGGAAGCCCATGGGGCGTAGCCCAAGAGAAATATGAAAATTAAAATGATATAATATTGCATTGTCATCCATTTGTGAGCTATGTTTCACATTTCAAGTCTCTAGCTCACCAGAAACTTCGTTTAAAGTTGATATCAAAATTTGTAGGAAAGTGAGCTAATAAAAACAAGCCCATTGAGCGTAGCCCAAGGGAAATATGAAGATCAAATGATATAATATTGCATTGCCATCCATTTGTGAGCTATGTTTCAAGTTTCAAGTCTCTAGCTCATCGGGGAGTATCAAAATTTGCAAGAAAGCGAGTTAATAAAAACAAGCCCATGGTGCGTAGCCCAAGGGAAATATGAAAATCAAATGATATAATATTGCATTGTCTTCAATTTGTGAGCTATTTTTCAAGTTTCAAGTCTCTAGCTCATCGGGAAGTTAGTATAAAATTGATTGCAAAATTTGTACCGGACAAGAAAGCTAGCTAATAAAAACGTTTTAATAAGAAGAAAAATATACATAGTCTTTTAAAATCGAAAATTAATTCACTCGTTTTAATTGGTTAATAGGTGCAGAAATTTCATCCATTGTTATAGTCAGACTTTCACCCATGAATCTCAATAACAGTACGTAATGTATGGTTAGGCAAGTAATCATTGACACCAAGTTGTGTTGTCCAATTGATTGTGTATTTTATCGAAACAATAAAAAGTGCATCGGCAAATGCTTAGGTCATAAGCTATTAAACAATTATGTACTAACCTGTATAAAAACAATTGCTCATGGGAAATTATTCCTTTTGTTTGTAATTGTTATTTACGACAAACTTAGTGTCAATTGCAATAAGTAATGTGTAAAAAGGGCTAGAAGCTAGGGTCCTAGATTGTGAAGGTGGGAAATAGAAAAAGTGCCAATTGCGCAAAACAGCAGTTATGTTATGTGTATTTGGTTATGTGATGTAACATGCTGATATATATTACGTAGAGTTATATGATGCATATAATGTACAATATTACGGTTGTTACGAATTTATCAAATGATTTCGTTAGCTTAATGATGCAATCATGAGTACATAATTTAGATATTTAAGATGTTCGTAGTAATATGTTGACAAAAGAAAGTTGTCTGTGGAAAAAAACCTCGTACGTAATTCAGTGGTATTTTAGTATTAATTTTTTTTTAGTAACATTAGTACTAAGAGAAAAATGATCAACAACTATAATGGATATTTATACACAAAAAGCTTTACGTAAATTTAGTTGTGTAAGATATTTCATAAATATTTAAAAATATTACCGTATGAAACCATCCTATGATCAGAGTCCCTGTCCGTACTGAGAAGCAGAAACAGCAGTTCGACGTTGTTACCATTTTAGAATATGATTACTGTAACATTAGAAAACATAGTTTATTACAGATGTATCAATGAACCCCAAAAACCTCATACAACAACAACACAAACATATCAATGAGCTCTGTGAAAATTTAAGCAACATAAAAAATATTGTCAACAGTTTTTCACTGATAAACGTTATACAGTAACCGAAAAAATTGGTTATACATATAACTGTTGGACCACCTTCTACGTATAATTAGGTTAACAGTAATGATCTTGTACAAAATCCACACACTGAACTAATTGAATATTCTTAATAAAAGGTATTGGAAATGCTAAGCTAATTTTATATTTAGTTCCAAATGGAAAACGAACTAATCTTTTTGATTATATTTACATTACTTTTAGTCTTCCACTTATCAGAAGTGCTGTATAAGTATTTTGGGTAGAATGAGTTATAATCTGAGTTCTAAAAAATTAGACTAAAAAATTTGATTAGGGCTAAGACTTTGTGCAGTTTTAAAAACTGTGTAATTCAACCTCTGGTGTTGGTGAAATTAATTGGACACCCTCATTTTTAATATTATATACAAGACCCATGGAGCTCTTAAATTTGGTAACTTTGTCAATCAAACGGGAAACTTAGAATCAATCAAACTTGAAGGAAAGTTACTGGAATTTACGAGTATGAAACTACAAACTCAGGGTTGAGTCAAGGTAAACAAACCATTAGTTACTAAAATAAGTAATTTGCCGTCTAAATCGGTATTTCATAGGCTAGTAAGATAGCAGTTTCCTAACTAAAATAGGTCATTATGCAACAGACAATGTATTTGCGGAAAATATTTACAAAACAAAACGCTAGAAATACAAAGCGTTGGTTCCATAGAAGAAGCTTCAAAAGGCTTTGCTGCAGTAATATTTATAAAACATAATGACAAAAAGTGAAAATATAATCCATACAACCAATGCATAGGGGTCTAGTATTAAAAATCTATTCTTTTAACAGTAAATTTCAACTTAACAGCACACATTTCTATTACTTACTTTATACTGATATGTTTATCAACTGAATACACTAACAACAGAAGAAATTTTAATACATTTTAGTTCGACACCATACGGGTTCCCCGGGTTACCGTAATAGCTTTTTACGCAAAGATCGCGTAATCTTTATGACATAGAAATTTAAGATTCAAGCTTTGGCGAGTGCTTTAAAAACTATGACGAGTGTCGTTAAGACTATTTACCCGAGATGCTTACTCTATTTTATCTACATAAACACAGTTTTACTAACAATCAGTACTCATAACTTAAAAAAGAGGTTATATTTTACTTTATAACCTCTCGTTGCCACTGATAGTGATGCTCATACGTCCGGTAAACACTAATTTTCGGGACTAATAACGTAATATACTATGTTAAGCCACAAAAATAATGTAAATATTACCATTTCATTTAAAAAAGTATAACCGGCTGTTCTCTTAATTATCTGTGCACTTTCTAAAGTATTCATGTGTTCATATGAAAACAGTTTCTTCCATAAGTATAACATGGGAACTTTATAGGCCACTGGGGCAGAGCCCTGATGGCATTTCATGAAAACGCTTTTTATTGCAAATCTAGAGGTTTATTGGAACCTCAATGCCAACTCCTTAGTTTTTGGGACTTGTAGTTTTTCAGACATAGTAATCTTTGATTCTGTGAGAGATATTTGACTTTTATAAGTGAATATATATAACATTATACATTTATAACATTTGAACATACATTCCTAATTGCAATTTAAAATAACAGAAAAGGTCTACCTCATGTATTTTACAAAATAGCAGCCTACTTAACAGACTTACGTGAATTACTTATTTATACCTACTTGGTTGAAGAATTAAATCCCTAGTATCACGTCTTTCACTCACTACGTTCCTGCTAACACTGAAAGTAAGTGTCAGCTGAGCATTATCAGGCACTAGCACTCATCAGCCGGTGTCATTATCTTTGAAAGCTATAATTGCGACACTGTTGACTTTCTGATATGAACGTCAAAGCTAGCCATAGCTAGTTGTAGGTGAATCGTGGTGTTAGAGTTTGATTGATTGCACTGAATATATAATAGGTAATTGGTTTACCTAATATTATGTATTTTCTACTAATAACATTTACCTGAATGTATAATATAAAACGAATGTCAAGTCTAGAATTGCAACCAATAAGGAAATATTTAAATGTAAACTAGTAAGAGCCAAACTCATTCGTTAAGTAATGAATAATTCAAACTGAATAGCCTAAAATTACAAGGAATGTCAACTTATCTTTGTTCAACAGTTCAAGTTCGTAATTTTAAACCGTCATTTTGTCTAGGATAAACAACATTTGATCAGATATGTGGCACTCTCTTCATAGATTTTGTTGCGTCCTACCTCTATTATAGGACCCTAGGCTCTATCTAGGGTTCGTTTAACATATTTTTCTAGGACTAGAGGGTTGCAGCATTATCACTTGGATAAAATCTATTGGTGATTGGTGGGAATTTCACCCGTGACATCAGAGACGGAAGGACCACACTTTACCACTAGACCAGCCCACTTTTCTCGTGTTAACAGAAACTATTCCCTCATTTTCAGATCAACTTCCGACTCCTTGTGGACCTTCCACAGAAAGATATAAAAACTATTGCCATGTTAAAGTAAATTTTAGTACTTATGAGTTAAGCTTGATTCCATTGTATTCAGTGGTTCAAAAAAAAATCCATGCAATGCTTGCGTATAAAAGTAAATTGTATGTAATATGTAGCAAGTTAAACTAAAATAGTATTGTCCAATGTGTTTTCATGATTGCATTTGTTATAGCGTAATTGATGGTTAGATCAATACATTGTCCAAATTTCAAATATAATAATCGCTGTCAAACTAATTATTATTATTGACTTTCTTTATAGCTTGAAGATAGGGATCTCTGGTTGTGAAATACTATTATTTCACAAGCTTAATATTTGTACAGTGTAATAAAGTACAAGCTATAAACGTTTCTTAGTACAATACAGTTAATCTCATACACACTTTTCTGAATTAACATTATAAACATGTCAAACAGTACGGTTATAAAACAACAAACAAAAAAAAAGTTAAATATGGTGTTGCAGTTAATGTTTTATTTCAGACAACTATATCTTCGTCCTCAGAACTTTCAATTGACGAGTTTCGTAGTTGAAACCTTCGTATCTCTTGAGTGTATTTGCAAAATATCACTGAAGCGAACACGAAAACAACTGTAAATAAGACAAATAAGGAATAGTAAAATTCAAAATAAGTCATTCATGATTTTTTGGGAAGTACCCCTCATAATCCAAAACTATATCTCTGTTCTCATAAATGTTGTAGATTTACTACCTACGTTTTTCTTACTCAATTTGGTAATAAAAAACTGGAGTTAATAAAATGGTAATTTTCAAAAACTGATAAGCATACCTGTTAGGAGTAATGTCTACCTTTTAACGTGTTAGTCGTTTCTGTCAAAACTATTGAAAAAAAATTAACAGTGAATATAAGATGTTAAAGCAAACTTTAGCCAATCATAGTTTAAACCCATTCGTAAAATTTGCCATTAACAAAAAGTAATTAATTGTTTTCACACAAACATCGAGTTCGGAATTTGATATTACGTTGTATTAAGAGCGAAGTTTAATATTAAGGTAGACCTACTGTGAATACCTATTGATACAATATTTTACCTATTGAATTTAAATCACCAATGAAACGAAACCATTCAGCTGTCATATCTTCTGTCAGTGCTTCATGCATGGTGAAAAGTAAAACAGTGAAAACCATGCGACATAACGTCAATATTGAAAATAGAGATATCGTTCCCTTTAACATGAATTGACATCCCTGAAATAAAATAATAATTAACACAATTTTAATTCTAATAAAATTTTTTTGTGTGATTCTTATGTATCTTATCTAAATTAATAAGTTTGCAGAAGTATTTTGGTATTAGATTAATTCAAACCAAAATCTGTGTTTTTGTGTGTATATATTTGTTAATTTCCCCGTAAAGTTAATAATTCCTTTTTGATTCACTTACAAATTAAAATGTAAAAGAAATTGCATTCTATTTTATAATCATTTTATTTTTTACCATAAGCATAAATTACCTGTCTTTAGCATCAAATTTCTTTATAATTAATAGCAAAAATATCTAATATTTCTCATAAACCGAAATTTTAATCAATCAATTTATCAATCATTGAGATACAGATGTCATCTAGACTACAAAAAAAAACAGTTTAAAATATTATTAGTCAAGGATGAGTGTAGAATGGAGAGAGATGATTTTTGTAGCTTTGTCGTATGTAAGATCAGCTGTTTCATTAGTCAGGAACATATTTAAAGCCCGACGATCAGGAACAGCTGGCCCTAGTTTCGAACCATTAAAAATATACTGACATTTTTCAAAATTGAACTGGTTGACTGGTGATTGAAATCACTATAACCTCACGGCTAGCCCAACCAGAAGAATCATTACACATTTATATGTATATAAGAAGGCGAATAAATAAAAACTTCTTACCCTCCAGGATTTTACAATGATCAAGACACAAACCAAAATAAAGAGACAACTTGTCAAATTGTCAGCGAAGAAAACTGAAACAGAAAATCTTAAACTGAAATATGAAATCCTATTAGATTTATCTTTGTTGTTGTTGCCGCCTGTGTTCTTGTATGTAATATGTTTGTGTTCCTCATATTATTTCAGAACTTGACAACAACAACAAAGATAAAATTCAAAATAATTCAAGCTGTTTCAACAAAACATAATAAGAAATAGAATTTTTACTGTGCACTGTACTAGCTTTTAAACTTACCACCCATTGGTTACTGACATTAATTAGAAACATATTAAAAACATTTTATGAGGAAATAAGTTTTATTGTGAAATAAGAAAATTTAACACGAAAAGCGTGAAGAATCAGTTTTTTTTATTTATATATAAATGAATAGTTAGTTGGTGTAGTCATGTATATTTATATAAGCAGGTTCTAGATTACTGCACATTTGTGCTTCAATGTAAATGGTGTTTAAAGTGTATTGAAGCATGTAAATATAATAAAATAAAATTAGTATTCCAAATCATTTTTGTTGCTCAACCCTCTTCGCCAAGTGAGTTAAGTCTTGAGATATTAAATTCCTTGAATAACAAGGAATAAAATGGCTTCCAAAGCCTACCTTTAATAAGAAATTGTTTAAAGTATTATTATGTTAATAAATAAAGTTTAAAGGTTTATTTCATGAAGTATAAATTTAACTATATATAATAAAAATTGAATTTGAAAGTATAAAGTTACTTATAATTGTGTTTTAAAAGATGCTATAAAAATGTTTTGTGTATCAGATGATTTTTAAATGACTTTTTTCTAAAGTAGAAGTACATAAGCTAATCAATGAGTAAACACTACACTATAGTTATACACTATACTTACCAATAGTATAGGTCTCATTCCATATTTCAAGGTCACGATTTAGTAATACTTGTATACCTGAGGCTATAATTTTAAACGAATTCAGGACCTGAAAGTATGATTTATAAAATACAAGAATGTAATGTTGAATACAATATTAGAAAGTTGTACGTATGTTATACCTTCTAGATTTACATAAATTTTACCAAGCAAACGAGTAAACAAATATTGGTCTACCACTCTTTGTTAGTAAGCAGTTTAATTATAGTATGTGAAATATGAAAACATAACTCATTGCTAGGATTGTTATGATAAATTGTTAGGTAATGTGTGAATTGTACAAAATATCACAATCACTGTTTACACTGTTTGTGTTGATTATAGCCAGGATGTAAAAACGGGGTTTTATATAGTTTTCAAAGTCACTAAGCTATTGGGGGGTTTTCAGTTTATAAACCACACGGAGTGATATAAAATATTAAATCCACAACTGACAACTGAAACGTAAGTATTACTCGATTATACTTTGGCCATGAAAACGTTTATTTTGGTTGTTATAAGGATTAAATTAATAAGTATTGTTTTTTTAGTATTTAAATCTTCTAGCTATTAAAATGATTAATGATGAACTTTACCAACATTATAATAATCTTCTAAATAAATTCCTTCACATGTAATATTATGATAGTACCTATTGGCTACTTTCAGTTTTTTTTTTCAAAGCTTAACTAATAGTATTTTATTCTTATCAAATTGCTAGTTTGTTATTTTTGTCAATAATACAACTTTAAAGTAAAGTTAACTTACAATGATGCAAATACATAAAGACACACTAGTGGCGAAGAGGGAATAGGAACCACCACAGCAAGTTGGCTCGCACTGGGGAAGCATACACATCTGGACAGTAATAATATGTAAATATAATACATTTTAAACACTTTGAGATACAAATCAAAATAATCTGCATTATTGCAGTAAAAACATACCATTTACCATTAAAGACAATTTATAGAGCTTAGATTATAACAGAATAGGTACATACTCAACGTTTAATCTTTAAACGTATCTACTAATCTTGCAATATGTGCTATTGACACATTTATTGTTATATTATATTATGGCTTAACAACTACTGAATATTGTCAAAGTAATTTATTATCGTAATAGTGTTTCTTATCACAGCCACTTCTTACCTTTATGTATTTATTTGAAATTTTCAATTAATAAATCAAAACTTTTTTGTTGAAGCAGTGTTGCTAAGATTCAGTAAAAGTTAGTGTTAAATTGTTTGAACTATATTTTAAATCTCAGTACTCTTCAATATAAATTATATACCTAGTAGGTTGTCTTCATCAGGTAAGCTTCGACATCATCTTAAGGGGTCTGCAGTGTTTCTAAACCTTTTTAGGTATTTATACATCCATATGGGCAAGTTATTAATGATTTACTCATCAATCACAAACGGCCGTTTCACATTAAAATTAATATAGGGTGAACATAAAAGAAGTGAACAACTTTGAACATCAATTTGTCGGAAACTACGGATCCGACATCGCTGCGGTTGGTACCAGTGAGTCGGAAAACTCCTTAAGTTTTGTCTCAAACAGCTGATTGCTGTCGTATAGTAATAAAATAGTTTTTTCTGCCTTTAAACCCTTTATAATTATTTATCAATGAAATTTTTTCAGGTTTGTACAGTTTATAAATAATGAAGCCAGTTTTAACCCAGTTCTGCTGCACAACTCCTCTTAGATCAGGCTGCAAAGTGATTGGTGCTTTTCTAATCGTAAGTAAACGACTCAAACTGATTACCTAAATACGTTATAATTATATTTAACTGACCAAATTGTAATGAAAATAGAGTTTCTGGTACTCTTTGCTGTATTTACAGTAAAAAAAAATAAAAAATAACACCTAACATAAATTGACGGCTTGGTCAACTGGGGGAAAATAAGAGAAACAAAGACCTTTATAAATCGTAAAACTGTGCCAGCAAAGTATTTATTGATAATTACGAAGTAGTATATTCTAATACGAGGTAAAGGCTAGTTTACCGGCACTGTACTTAAACTCTATTATGCCTAATAGAGTGCAGTTTTTGGTAACTCCATTAAAATAAGAAGAATCTTTTTATAAAGGGGGCTATTTGAAATAACAGATGGTGCAACGATGCATGTAAGAGGAGTGTTTGTTTAATGAGTGGATGAAACTTGCATATTATTCGTATTTGTTAAAATTTATTTTATTTACAAAATGAGACACTTCAGATTCACAGTTCCAAAAAAAAAAAAAAAAAAAAAAAAAAAACACATTCATAAAAACACAACCTTTCCTCATTATTTCATTCATAAGCAATATATACAAAAGATTTTGTCAACCCGATGAATAATCATCCAAATATTATGATCCTAAATCGCTGCTTCAGTTTCTTTTTGAAAACTCTTTCTATAGCAGTAGCGAGTCTTTGACTGTTAAACGGGGTGGAGTGTAAAAAGATGGTGTCAAAACATGAACAATAGTGTGAATAAAAAGGGTTGGGAGTTTATAAATATAATACTTTCGTTGCTGTTAATTTTTAATAGACCTTAAGTTTTGAAATCTCCTTTTTGATACTATTGTTTGCAAAGTTATATGAAATGAATTCCTTACTTTGTATATATTGTACACACACTGCATTATATAAATAAATTACCAATTTCCCTTAATTACTAGATTATTTGCTTTCTATTGGGGTTTCGTTGTTGAATTAAATAAAAAAAAAACCTATTAAAACTTATATTGGTGGGTTTTAATAATAGTAATTAGTAGAGAAATGTGTCTTTGGTAAAAAAAATATATATCATTGTTAATTTAGATATCTGCGACATTATATTTGGGCCGGCATTTATCTCAGCATCAACCAATTGAGTCAGACGAAAGAGTTGCACAATTTCTTAAACTAGGTGAGTATAACTGCAAAAAAATAATTTTCTCCATTAATAATAGTAAAACTTCTTATACTGCTCTAGCTTAGGTTTTAGAGCCGTCGGTATACGGAACTGTGAAGATGGTTGATACGGTGGTGGCAGAATGTTCGTTCCTTATGTATTAACAAGTTTAAAAAATAATGGAAAACATATATAATCAGCTTTTATAGTAGCATGTCTCAGAATATTCGTTAAAATTAATAGATCAGGACATCAGATTAGAGTTGGACGAATTATTATAGAATTAAAAGAAATACGGTACTTAATAAATATGACCTAAATAAATAGGCCCATTAGTATCTTCATTATTAAATATCAAATTCTTCATTAAAATATAGCACAAAAATTAGTTATCATAGACTTAAGCTACCTTGACATTCCTTTATATTTATTTTTACTATATTTTTTTTATATAGTACGAACATGAGTTACCATTGGGTTAATCGAAAGGTTAAAAAACTGTAGGGAAATTACCTTTTTCAACATTGTGGTACAATAGAAGAAACCCCATTGCATGTCTTATTATAAACTTAAAGAATATACAATGCACTTTTTTGATTAGATAAAAAAAACTTTAGGGAAATTATCATTTTAAACTTTGTGGTACATTAGAATAAACCTGAGTGCATTTTTGATAATACATTTAAAGAATATACAATGCACTTTTTTATCAGTTAAAAAAAAACTGTCAAACTTTATTTTACACACTAACATGTCGCACATTAGATGTCGCATTTTATTTTGGCAGGCTTTTTAGACCTATTCTCTTGAAAAAAAAGGTTAGCCAATTATAATAATGAATTAGTATAGCTTTATTTAATTCCTTGTCATTATCTTTTAAGACATGGTAAAACAAGAACTTTATAATCTGTTTTAGTTTCCACAATCTCTGTGGCTGGATCTGTATGCAGTTACATCATTGCAATTATCCTATTGGTCGGAGTTTACAAGGTAAATAGTAAACACCCTAAATATGATTCGTGAGTTCTAATGCACTAACTGTAATTCCTTCAAGTCATTACTTTGAAAAGCTAAACAATTAATTAGAAACTCTACTTTTATTTTGCAGGGTTGGTAGGTTACAGGATAAAACCGGTTTCATTGTTCTATTTAGCGCACACAAGTTTCCAATTTAATTTAATATATAAAATCAATTTTTTTTAAGTTAAGTTGTGTGGAATATTTAACACTACTTGCTTTAATCCTATTCTTCAACAAGGATGAATATTTAGGTCTACCAACGGAAGGGAAGATTACGTAAATGATATGTAAAAAAAGTTCGACATAAACTATAACTACAGAAAAAAATAATATACATGAAAATCATTTTCTAGAATATTAAAACAATTTTGAATTGTTAACAACGTAGTTGTCTGCGAATGTCAACTTACTTTTTTTTCTGCTAGATATACCTTAATCAACTCAAAACTGTTATACATCCAAGAGACGTAGCCCGAGGGAATTTTAACGACATGGACATAAAAACATGGACATGTGCTGGCTGGGTCTATGATCTACCCTTAAAAGTCTTATTTTATCAGTAGGTCTACGTGCCCGGAATGACACACACAAAATTTTTCATCTTTGCATCATAATGGATCACCACGACATTTACCGATTATTTTTTACAGGATGTGCTGCAAATGTTACTTGGGTCTTCGGTATTGTTGTTCCTGTATGCAGTCAGTCTTCTCGCGGTTGGTGGTTATATGTTATACATTAGTCATGCGATATATTTTATCGCTCTGACGATTTATGAATGTAAGTAATATTGAATATATTTGTTTTAGATATTTAGCGTTTAAAGCACACATTCGCAAAAGGGAAGCTTAAAAAATTGAGGTTGGCAAAATCACTGATTCAGGTTGCCTAATCAACAGTCATAATTAATTGATGGAAAATTATTTAAATTTTCAAATAGTATGCATTGCTAACTGAAATTTTATTTGTTAGTATTTTCTAAACCCGTATGCATTTTAGAAAATACACTTAATAAAAATAGACGAATACACATTTTTTCACTATAACCAAAGTAGGCCTAGTGATATATTCTCTGAACCTAATGTGGCTCAACAACATTTTCAGTGGTGAACCTTTACTTCGCAATCGTTGTGTTCAGTTATTACCTAGAGAGAAAGGAAGAGACGCAGTTTTTGACAACTTTGGATGAACCAATGAGGTCTGCACTTGAACGACAAAGGGGCCAAGCTAAAGAACAAGGGGTTCCCGACCCTATGAGAGCAGCTCTTATGAAATATAGAACCGATATTAAAGAAGAAAAAAGAAAGGAAAGTCAACCAAATCAAGCAGGCTCCTCTCAGCCAACTCCAAGGAATTAAATCATAACAAACTAATTTATACAAACACAGTAACACATACAGTAATTATACATGTTTGTAGTTATGTGTACAGTAATTTATACAAATCTTGTAAGATATTAAAAATTGAAACTCAATCAACCAAAATGTGTTGTACCTTTAATGTTTTATTTTTATTTTGTCAGTAAACTGTAAATAAAGTACAATCGATTTAGTGAAAATAGGCTAATACAAAGTGAGCCGTGACTACTTTCCACCATCGAATGCCACCACTCATATTCAATGGTGAAATTGTTTCTTGTATAGTTTGTGTTTTGCCATGTTACTGTTCCAACGACCCTCAGTAACGTTTTTCTGCGTCACGCTTTTTTCTTACTCCTGTCCCGGAATTGTCATTGGTCCCGTGACGACAGACACGTTTGCCACGTAGAAAATTTTCAGAGATTGATTATCTTTGTCCATCTACTCTTATGCTTTCTTTTTTTGCTAGGAAGTTTAGTTTTTTTTTCTGACTGGATTTTCTTCTGCGTCGTAATGGAGTAAATTAAGAGCGCCAAGCGTGCTTGATGGGGCCCAGGAGGTGGACCATCAACCTGTGGCGGAAACCTTTTCAACTTGGGGCAATCCTTTGGACCCTGGGACATCACCCTGGGACCCTCTCTGCCTGGTTTCATCGCACCTCCAGCTGAGTGACTAAAATGCCCTAGTTACCGTCGTACCGCAAGTTCCTGTTTTGTTATTTTTATATTTTTATACATTAATTAATTAACGAAAAATAAACTATTTAACGTTAACGTTTTTTCAATGTATACAGTTTATTTATTTTTATTTTTTCAAATTTTAAATTCAATAGCCTTTATATTAATATTAATTTTTTTAATAGGGCCCCTAAAAGATAAATTTTCACCAAGTTAAAAATTCATTTATTGAAAAGAAATATATATATTTATTGTTGTAATTTGTTAATATTACAATTTGTTTAAAGGTAAAATTTATCCAAATTATTGTTTTGAAATCAGTCTATTTTGAATAATTAAAGAAATGCTTGTATGTTAGTTGGCTAGATGGGTAATTTGAAATTCAGTTTAAGTTTTGAGAGTAATTTACATTTATTGTTGTTAATGTTTGTTGTTATTTAAATTGTTATTACAGCTCGTTTCTCTCAAATGGCGCGTTGTTCTTGAACCTTCCTCAATGGGTTTTCCTGTTGTAAAGTTTTGTGTAGAAATACATTAAATTTGGATGTTAAGCGTAACTGTTACTGTACCAAAGGTAATTTAGTCTGCTATAAAACTAGATATAGAAAGAATTAGTAGTTAGATGGAAGTCACCTTCCAATTAATGATCAGTTGTTTGAATAAATTTAATTTGTACATCATAAGCTATATTAAAAAAAAAACTATGGTAAAATGATTTTGTAGACTAGACCATGTCATGTCATGGTTTTAGCTCACACTGGGAAATAGTTTATTTTCGAAAAGTATTGCTCGGAATTTTGTTTATCTCAAAAGCAAGCTTTGAAATCCACAAGCACCTATGGTAACTGACAGCTTTTAGTTGTTGCTTTTAATTTTTAAAGTAGGTTTTTGCCACCCTAACTTGAGGCAGCCCAAAGCCACACTAGATATACGGCGTGCGGCCTTGGGCTGCCTCAAAATAGGGTGGCGAGGACTATATAGTATATAGTATATATACTATAGTAACTACCATAACCACGGTCACATAGCGACGCCTTCAACAGCTGGTGGGTTTGCATTACTCTACTGTTGTGCGGACCTGCGTTGGTACTAGTGAAGGACTCAGGCTATGTCTACTACGAAACGAGTTCCTGTACTACACAATGTTGAACAAGGTGATCAGATTGGCCCGTTACCTTATCTAGGTACCTTATCTTGAATGCTTTCCACCTAGGAATATCAAACTATACTTTACTAAGCCACCAAACCTACATTATACAGTACATAAATGTAGGCCTAAGGATACATTTGTTTTTGCGTAACCTCTATAACACACCAAACTCTCTCAAAATGCTTACAACTTTGCGTGGTAGAATTAAAAAATAAAACTCACAGATTATAAAATATATACAACTACTTTACTAGTTTTTATTAGACCACAAAGAAGTTTTGTACGGCGTAGGCATTTGTGTGTTGGTTGGATAATCTATATCTACTTGCGTTGAAGCTTGGGGCCTTCCCAACTACTGAGCGCTGCCAGGCCCAGGTATCACATAAGGTGCCTGAGGGGTGTTTAAAGGAGGTGCAGAGGGAAGTGTTGAAGGACCCTGGCCAGGATTTCTTCCTCCGTTAGGCTGGTTCATAGGTGACATTTGATTGTTTTCATTTCCACCCCCAAGAGGGTACGTTACCTGTTGGTTGGTTTGGCTATTGTGGACAGTGATCAAGTTTAAATTGTTCGCAATATCCTCAATGAATTCCCCGTAGCTGTACCATACTGCGGCGAAGTACAGGAGGATTACTGCAATGAGAAGTAGTCGTTATGAAATGTACAATTCGTTAAACAAATTAAGACCCAAGATTAAGACAGTGTTTGTACAGGATAATTGACTCCTGCTAAAAGGTTGGCAGGAAGACGCTACACTCCTAAGGCTACACAATACATCCCATTGATTTACAAAAGTATGAATTTAAGTAGAATACCTACTTGAAAACTATAAATTTATGATGAGACAGAAATTAAGGCAAAGACAACTTTGATTAGTTCTTCAGAATATCCCTTGCGTTACCACAAGATTTTTTTTCTCACTGTAAAATCTGTAGATATTCTCTTATTGGTCGTAATAATTAACTACTGGCTTGGATGATTATTGTGTCTTTAGTAATTAATAGTCCTAACTACATTACCAGCTGATTTATGTCAATTCAAATAATTACTATAGCCTACAGACATCTTCACATCTTTAGTCTAATATTATATTTTAATTATGTTTAGCTACTAAATCCACTCAAAGGTAAATATCACTCAAACATTGAATTTGATTAAATAGGTAATAACTGATTGTGTCTAGATGTTTTAGGATTAATAAACTACATATATAGGATATATATATAAAATCCAATGTATGTTTGTTTGTATGTATGTTTGTTTGTTTGTCCTTTATGGACTCCGAAACCGCTCGACAGATTGTAATAAAACTTTCAGGCATTATTAAGCATTATTCAAGGGTGGTTTTTGTGAAGTTTGGCGCAGATCCGTCAAAAGGGCTCCGCCCCAGTGGCTCTTGAGTTTCCCATGTTAACCTTATGAGTACTCATATTTAAATGGAATTAAAGAATCTTAACAGCTGGCTCAACTAAACAATTTGATTCTGTGATGTTCAATAGCATTTAAAAGTCAATAGGTTTATCAACAGGGTGCAGCAGTATTATTATTTTTTACTCAAACTTTTACTCAAACTATTTCACTCAAACATTGAATTTGATTAAATAGGTAATAACTGATTGTTTCTAGATGTTTTAGGATTAATAAACTACATATACACTATATTTGACTTAATAATCATCACAGTGCTTCACAATACTTACTGTTGGATTCATCATGGTAAAGAAATAAATGCTGTACAGTGTTTGTTTAGAATTTTAGTCTTTAACTGTCTATAAATAAAAGCAAAGAGTAAATCAACCTGTTACAATATTTTACTAAAATGCCGATAAGGTAATTACTTATGTCAAACGGTTGAACAACGTTGAACTCTATGCTTATTATTATGTCTGGTTGCATTCTTAATACAATAAATCAGGTTATAATCTTAAGTTAATCGTACTTACCTAAGGTTATTATTTCAGGAAACCATTGATGCCTGGCCCCACTAAATACTAATCCATAGGCGATAAACTGCAAGGAATGTAGTATGGCCATAAACACTCCAACTACCTTGAGAACTATTGCGATTTTCTAAACAAACATAAAAGGTTTGGTAGAGTTGGAAAAGATATAGAACTTTAATGCTGTTTAGAATTTATGAGAACTACACTAAATAAATCTTAGTTACATGACAATCCTACGCAGGTCTACAATGTAGCAAAACTAAAATCGAATAGTTAAATATCCACCCATCATTTTAAGATGATGTAAATTATAAGAAGTAATGATCACCTCAAATGTGTTTCATAATAGGATCATGGCAATCAGTTCAAGTAAATTTAAATTTTTAAACATTAATACATTTGTCGTATTTTATTGTTTGGGAACAGAAAAAGATTCTAGTTTTTGATGCTTCAATTTTGGTCACTTGTGAAATTCGTAAAAGGCATAATATTTTTCCATTTTGCATAAAATTACTCATTTAGTAACTGCGGTCTTGTATAGACCTAAATAATAAATCGTGAACAGTAATTTAGCAGAATTTACTTATAAAAATATGTCTAGATTAAAAAATGAAAAAATATACAGCTTTTACCTTAGTCGTAGCGTAAATTGCTCCAATAGAGACCGTAATTACAACTACAGCCACAAGAGCACGGAATATATAAACTGAAAACAATTAGTATATTATTGATTTTAGTTGGAAACATGTTGCTCATATCATAAAATGAAGTTTTTTATTGCATTCACCCCCTCATAAGTTCCAATTCATTTCCTTGAATTCACTATTAGCATCTAGATTATATTAGATGAAGTAGAAGATCGGTTTTATTACAATTGCTTTAGAATTCTATTGATTTGCTTGAATCAGAATATTCATTTTAATTATTATGTTTTGATTGGACGTGGACGGACTGGCTAACATCGAAGCAGTAACACGCGTCACTGCTCCGATCCCAGCTTCCAATAACATAAATCACCGTCACGGTAAAATCTTTCGCAGGAACATCATTTACTGTCCGTTTGCCAATTGTTTCTCATTTGTTCGTGGGACACTTGGACACATTTAAAAAAAAATTGTGACACATTTCAAACTGGAGTGTGATATGTTTGTATACAGTCGAGAAACAATTCAATAAAATATCACTTGTATCTAGAGACGCGATAATTTGATTGTTTTTCCTATGAAAGAGAAAATATACAAGAAGAAATTAGAATAAAACCTCATATACTTATACTACTATCCAATAAAGGACGTTGATACATTAAAAAAATCCTACACCGTGTTTAAAAGAGCTGAAATTAGGTTCCAATTGCAATATGTACTTTCTCAAACATTCTTCTTGTCTATATCTTGTAAAAGAGGACATATAATTGAGAAATATCAATCAATCATTTTGTCCCTCAATGATAAAAACGACACTTCATTGAGGAATACATAACAGGGAAAAACCAAAAGTAGGTCTTCACCCAGTTTCTTTATAAAGCATAAATATGTGAACTACATGTCTATTCTGGTTTGAACGTAAAAAAACGAGTTTCGATAAAATGTCAAATGCTTGGGAGTGGAACAGGCTTAGAAATTCCCAGAAATTCGAAAGGTTGAAAACACATTTATAGTTAAGTTGAACTATTAATTTGGCCAATGCTAACTTCTAAAGTGGTTGTTAAACGTATGCTGAATGATCGTGTAAAGACAACAATCGTTCTTGTGACAATTTAACGTAAAAGAACCTTAAAAGTCAGCCAAATTACAGTATTTTGGTTTCATACGTGTTAGTACTCTGCTCTTCTGCTCTATGTTTTCGTCGTCTTCATTTTCTTCCGGTCCCAATAGATCGAATATCTCTTTGCAGTTGAAAAGCTCGAAAACATAGGTTACCTTAAATAAACAATGATGTAAGTTAATAAGAAATTAGTTTTTATGTTGGAAATATAAGATATTATTCATGAATACAGTTAATATTGGAGTGAAGTACGTTGTGTGCAAAACAAATTAATAAGTTCGACATATAGTTTTTATTACTATTGTTTATAATTTAGTTTTAATACAAGATGGCCTAAAATATTTCTGAAGAGATCCATTGTTCAGTAAATCAATTGAAAACTCTTCTTTATTGATGCATAATTAAGACCTCTTATCATGGTCCATTCTTCCAGTTAACCTCTAGAAAACTACCAATAACGTAAAATTTACAAATAAAGCAACAAAGTTTGTAATAATTTAAAACCATATATATAAAAACGTGACAGGGCTTTTTTATTTTACGATTTAGAATCAACCAGAATTCAGTTTTTTTTTTAGAAAATAAGTTAAAATTTTAAAAAGCAGCCGACTCTAACATTCTACACTAGCTTTTGGTATTAATTTGCTTAACGTTACAGCTGTAAACATAAGCGTGTCTGTCACAAATTCAGAATTTGGATAATAATTACATGCAAAGGATTGACTTGTTTATACTGTGTGTAACGGTATACTCATTGATACATTCATTTATTTGGTAAGAGGATGACAGACTATTAAAATATACATCGTAAAAATCATGCTAGATGTTATCATTTATTTTTTAGAGCAGTCTTGAAAATTGTTTGTTTGTTTTAGTGTAATATAATTCTTTTAACTAACAAAAAAAAAAATTACGATTAAAATATAAAAATATTCTATAGAAGTATCAGGTTAGTTTATTATTCTGTAATTTTGCCATTGATTATAGGAAATAAGTAAGATTCTATAACCACTGATTTATACAAATAGAGGCTCTGCCACCGAGTCTTCAAAAGAAAGATGCAACATTATTTTTCTGTTAGACTTTTTGGGAAGGAATAGGAAAATAACAATGTTTACTTAATTTTGGCTGCTTTTTGTTTACAATAAATGTTTCACGGCTTAAACTTTGCTTGAATTAGAAAGAGAAATATTGTCATAACTTTTAGTTTTAGTTGACTACTCAACTCCAGTACGTAGGACGGGCCAACAGCTCGTTTAAACTGAAAGTATTAACAACAATGATACAAATACGTGTAATCTATAGGGAGAGAGTGACTAAATAATTAATTAGGCTGGGGCATGTCCGCTGATTGCACACTTTAATGGGGGTCTTAACTTGTATAGTTAAAAGCGAAACTCTGTAGAAGTATACACTCACAAATTACTTAAAATCTGGGTTAGCTTTTGCTAATTCGTTTTAAGACAATTAGTAAAATGAAATATTAATATTTACTAAAATAATTAATCAAATATGAATAAACACACTAGAATTTCAATTGACCAATAATTATACATACAAAAAAGCTATTTATTTTAACTTACAATATGCAAAACTGCAATTATATAACAGCCGAGCCTCAGTGAAAGACAGAAACAGCAAGTTCTTAGCAAAGCCATCAAATGCTGAAAAGTTAGAATCAGTTTTAATTTTAATATTTAATTTCTCTTGAAGACTACATTCGAAACCCCAGTGTTATTTGAACATTAAAAATATATCCTCTCGTAATAATAAATTATATTTGTAGCAGGGCCTACATTTTTCTTTCTGTTAGCTAAATCATTGTTTTTATTCGAATCTATGAATGGATATGTTTGACTTATATTTTAGTAACACTTTTTTTAACATTTGAAATTATGATGTGCCATACCATATTATTTTGTTGAGTGCATGTTATATTTCAAAACCGTTAAGTATTATAATATAATATGTTACTTTAATTCATGTTGGGCCATAACAGATATTTTGTAATGTATGTCATGTACGATACTGTTGCATACAAAACAATAGGTTTTCAAAGAAATAACTATAACTACAATAGAACGCACCCTTGACATTTATAACTGGTATTTTAAAATGGTAGTTTTATCATTGTAAATAACATAACGATGTTTCACTTTTTAGAAAGCTATTTGTTGAATTAAATATAAAAAAACTAACTACATTCCCTTGTAATACCATCTAACATAGATGGAATCAACGTCTTGGGTTCTATGGTGTCATTTAAGGTTCTAATAGATTTAATTAAGGTCTTAATTTGAAAATAATATACATTGCAACTATCTCTTTAAAACTAGATTTTAGCGTTTGTTAAACAAAATCAATATGTCCAATCCCGTCCACATATTTTTTTATCTACTACAACCCAGTAAGTTTGAAATATTGGTCAAATAAAAGTCATCACTCTTAAAAATTAGATTATTGTTGGATTGAGTTTACCTGATATGTATTTAATTTTCTTCTCCGTTAAATGACGAATGATTTACAACAAAAATTTAAAACACTATTAGATAAATTTTAGTTTAAAACTGTAGTTACTTAGCACTAAGCAACGGCCACCAAGTCGTTTCAGTGTTAAAAAGCTTTTATACACTATTTGCTACATTTATCAATAAATTTATTGAATTTTTGTTTAAACTGTATGATTTTCTAAATGGGTTATTTTCAAAATTTTCTTTTTCCATTACCAACAAAAACCACAAATACTATGGTTTTGTGTTGTTGCACGACTAGGTCTATCTGCTCAAATAAACATTTGATTTGCATATTAGATGGTAACTGTGCTGTGTGCTGTTTGATACCTTTATAATTGTGATCATGTTACTTATTTAATGTTTACATTGGATGTATTATTTTTTTCAGCTTGATTATTTACTTTTGGGGTCTTGGCTGATAAAGTATCTATGTTAAACTGTGGTGTGAGTTTTACCTTTCACTACATGGTGTCAGGTTAAATAAACTTTTGTGGAGAAAGGGAAACACAGGAACCTAAGAATGGCTGAAGCATTGAGTAGTACAGTTAGTACAGTTTAATACCAACTTATCACACCATAACCTTACAATTTCAGGGAACCTTCTGAATGGCCTAGATGGAAAAGAAAATTTGAGAGGTTTAGATTAGCTTCAGGATTAGACAGTACGAGTGGGGAAAATCAAGTTAATATGCTTTTATACTGTCTAGGAGATGAAGGAGAAGACCTTATAACATCTTTCGGGTTAAAAGATGAAGAATTACAGAGTTATGACACTGTCAAGGGTAAATTTGAGTCTTACTTAGGTTTCAAAATCAACATTGTATATGAGAGAGCTAAATTTCTAAAAAGACGTCAGTCGGAGGGGCGACCTGTTGATTATATTTTATAAATAGTTTACACAAACTAGCAGAGCGATGTAAACTTGGGGAATTAAAAGATTAACTTATTGGAGATATGATAGTAATTGGGGTAAATGATGACAACCTTTCTCAAAATATACAGTTGGATGACAAATTAACTTTAAGTACACCAATTTTGAAAGCATGACAAAAAAAGAGAGTTTAAAACAGTAGTACAGATTTATAGTAGTTAAGTCCTGTTATAGTAGTTAAGTGTGGTCCTTTCGTCCCTGATGTCACGGGTGAAATTTCCACCAATCGCAAATGGACTTTATCTAAGTGATAATGCTGTAACTCTCTTCTGTTTTTTTTCTTGTTCTGTTCAGTCCTAGTATGAAATAATATCTTTATTTCATAACCAACCTAAAACCAACCTAAACCCAACCTAACCTAACGTAACCTAACCTAACCTAACCTAACCTAAGTCAACATGCATATCATCTGTATAATTAGTGGTTACTGTAGTGAAAGGTAAAACTCACACCACAGTTAAACATAGATACTTTATTAGCCAAGATCCTAAAAGTAATAATCAAGCTGAAAACAATAATACATTCAATGTAAACATAAGTAACATATGATCACAATTATAAAAGTATCAAACAGCACACAGCACATCTTCTCTTTCCTTTTTTTTCAATTATTTATAAAAGTCTGAGTCGCTATATCTTTGAGGTGGTTTTACACTTCTTTTAGGTCTGTTATTTTCATTACTATTGTAATTATGTCTAGTATCAGTTTCAGTTCCTTGGCCTTGACAATCAAATCTATTTTCATCATTTTCCATAGGTCTGTGCACATCTATAATATGTCTCTTTACCTTTCTTTGAACTGCTTTGATCTTGACTTTTATTGTAAGAACTCTCCTTAAACCGATGTTTAGTGGATTGATTATTTCCCTTATTGACAAACTCCATTTCCGGCGATTCTCTCACTACTTTTTGTTGTTGTTTTAAACTCTCTGCTTGTCATGCTTTCAAAATTGCTGTACTTAAAGTTAATTTGTCATCCAACTGTAAATTTTGAGAAAGATTGTCATCATTTACCCCAATTACTATCATATCTCTAATAAGTTCATATTTTAATTCCCCAAGTTTACATCGCTCTGCTAGTTTGTGTAAACTATTTATAAAATATAATCAACAGGTTTCCCCTCCGACTGACGTCTTTTTAGAAATTTAGCTCTCTCATATACAATGTTGATTTTGAAACCTAAGTAAGACTCAAATCTACCATTGACAGTGTCATAACTCTGTAATTCTTCATCTTTTAACCCGAAAGATGTTAAAAGGTCTTCTCCGTCATCTCCTAGACAGTATAAAAGCATATTAACTTGATTTTCCCCACTCTTACTGTCTAATCCTGAAGCTAATCTAAACCTCTCAAATTTTCTTATCCATCTAGGCCATTCAGAAGGTTCCCTGAAATTGAAAGGTTATGGTGTGACAAGTTGGTATATAACTATACTAACTGTACTACTCACTGCTTCAGCCATCCTTAGGTTCCTGTGTTTGCCTTTCTCCACAAAAGTTTATTTAACCTGACACCATGTAGTGAAAGGTAAAACTCACACCACAGTTAAACATAGATACTTTAGTAGCCAATACCCCAAAAGTAAATAATCAAGCTGAAAACAATAATACATTCAATGTAAACATTAAATAAGTAACAAGATTACAATAATAAAATTATCAAACAGCACACAGCACAGTTACCATCTAATATGCAAATCAAATGTTTATTTGAGCAGATTGGCCTAGTCGTGCAACAACACAAAACCATAGTATTTGTTTTTTCTTGGTAATGGATAAGAAAATATTTAAAATAACCCATTTAGAAAATCAGACAGTTTTACCAAAAATTTAATAAATTAATTGATCAATGTAACAAAAGTTGTATAAAAGCTTTTTAACACTGAAACGACTTGGTGGCCGTTGCTTAGTAACTACAGTTTTAAACTAAAATTTATCTAATAGTGTTTTAAATATTTGTGGTAAATCATTCGTCATTTAACGGAGAAGAAAATTAAATACATATCAGGTAAACTCAATCCAACAATAATCTAATTTTTAAGAGTGATGACTTTTATTTGATCAATATTTCAAACTTACTGGGTTGTAGTAGATAAATATAAAAATAAATGGACAGGATTGGACATATTGATTTCATTCCACAACGCTAAAGGCTACTTTTAAAGAGTTAGTCGCAGTGCATATTATTTTCAAAATATAACCGTAATAAAGTATATTAGAACCTTACATGGCACTATAAAACCCAAGACGTTGATATCAACTATGTGAGAAGATATTAACAAGGTAACGTAGTTTATTTTTTGATTGAATGCAAAAAATTGCTTTATAAATAGTAAAACGTCGATATGTTATTTGTAAAAATAATACCACCACTTTACAATACCAGTTATAAATGTCAAGGATGCTTTCTTTTTGTAGTTAATAGTTATTTCTTTGATAACCTATTGTTTCGTATCATGCAACAGTATCGTGACATGACATACATTACAAAATATCTGTTATGGCCCAACATGAATTAAAGTAACATATTATGTTTTATTACTTAACGGTTTTGTAAGATGCACTCAACAAAATAATACATTATGCCACAACATAATTTCAAATGTTACAAAGAATTTTACTAAAATATAAGTCAAACATATCCATTCATACATTCGAATAAAAACAATGATTTAGCTAACAGAAAGAAAAAAGTAGGCCCTGTTACAAATATAATTTATTATTACGAGAGGATATATTTTTAATGTTCAAATAACACTGGGGTTTCGAATGTAGTCTTCAAGAGAAATTAAATATTAAAATTAAAACTGATTCTAACTTTTCAGCATTTGATGGCTTTGCTAAGAACTTGCTGTTTCTGTCTTTCACTGAGGCTCGGCTGTTATATAATTGCAGTTTTGCATATTGTAAGTTAAAATAAATAGCTTTTTTGTATGTATAATTATTGGTCAATTGAAATTCTAGTGTGTTTATTCATATTTGATTAATTATTTTAGTAAATATTAATATTTCATTTTACTAATTGTCTTAAAACGAATTAGCAAAAGCTAACCCAGATTTTAAGTAATTTGTGAGTGTATACTTCTACAGAGTTTCGCTTTTAACTATACAAGTTAAGACCCCCATTAAAGTGTGCAATCAGCGGACATGCCCCAGCCTAATTAATTATTTAGTCACTCTCTCCCAATAGATTGCAGGTATATGTATCATTGTTGTTAGTATTTTCTGTTTAAACGAGCTGTCAACTTGAACTTAAAGTTATGACAATAATAATTCCATTTATAATTCAAGCAATGTTTAAAATCAGTTAAACAGTTATTTTAAACAAAAAGCTGCCAAGATGAATTAAAACATGTAAACATTGTTATTTTCCTATTCTTTCCCCAAAAAGTTGAACGGAAAAATAATGTTGCATCTTTCTTTTGAAGACTCGAGGGCAGAGCCTCAATTTGTATAAATCAGTGGTTATAGAATCTCACTTATTTCCTATGATCAATGGCAAAATTACAGAATAATAAACTAACCTGATAGTTATATAAAATATTTTTCTATTTTAATCGAAATATTTTTATTTAAATTTTTTTTAGTTAAAAGATTTATATTGCACTAAAACAAACTAAAATTTTTAAAGACTGCTCTAAAAAACTAATGATAACATCCAGCTTGATTTTTACGATTTATATTTTAATAATCTGTCATATTCTTAGCAAATAAATGAATGTATCAAAGAGTACAGCATTACACACAGTATAAATAAGTCAATCCTTTGCATGTAATTATTATCCAAAATCTGAATTTGTGTCAGACACGCTTATGTTTACAGCTGTAACGTTAAGCAAATTAATGCCAAAAGTGTAGAAAGTTAGCGTCGGCTGCTATACTTTTTAAAATTTAAAGTTATTTTATAAGAAACTGAATTTGTAAACTAAAATTATGGCTTCGACATTCTCTAGTTCTCAAAATTATCTTTCTTCCAACACAAAAATCATGAAAATCCAAGTGGTTGATTCTGAATCGTGAAATAAATAAAAACTGTCACGTTTTCATTATATGATTTTAAATTATTACAAACTTTGTTGCTTTATTTGTAAATTTTACGTTATTGGTAGTTTTCTAGAGGTTAACTGGAAGAATGGACCATGATAAGAGGTCTTAAATATGCATCAAAAAAGAAGAGTTTTCAATTGATTTACTGAACAATGGATCTCTTCAGAAATATATAGGCCAACTTCTAGTTAAACTAAATTATCAACCATAGTAATAAAAACTACATGTACTTATTAATTGGTGTTGAACACAACGTACTTCACCCCAATATTAACTGTATTCATGAATAATATCTTATATTTCCAACATAAATAACTTATTTCTTATTAACTTACATCATTGTTTATTTAAGGCAAACAATGTTTTCGAGCTTTTCGAATGCAAAGAGACATTCGATCTATTGGGACCAGAGGAAAATGAAGACGACGAAAACAAGGAGCAGAAGAGCAGAGTACTAACACGTATGAAACCAAAATACTGTATTTGCATATAATTAGTAGTATATTTGGCTGACTTTTAACGTTATTTTACGTTAAATTACCACATGAAAGATTTTTGTCTTTACACGATCATTCAGCATACGTTTAACAACCACTTTAGAAGTTAGCATTGGCCAAATTAATAGTTCAACTTAACTATAAAAGTGTTTTTAACCTTTCGAATTTCTGGGAATTCCTAAGCCTTTTCCACACCCACACATTTGACGTTTTTATCGAAACTCGTTTTTTGATGTTCAAACCAGAATAGACATGCAGTTCACATATTTATACTTTATAAAGATACTGGGTGAAGTAAACGTACTTTTGGCTTTTGCCTGTTATGTATTCCTCAATTAATGCGTTTTTATCATTGAGGGACAAAATGATTGATTGATATTTATCACTTATATGTCCTCTTTTACAAGATATAGACAAGAAGAATGTTTGAGAAAGTACATATTGCAATTGGAACCTAATTTCAGCCCTTTTAACACGGTGTAGGATTTTTAAATGTATCAACGTCCTTTATTGGATAGTAGTATAAGTATATGAGGTTTTATTCTAATTTCTTGCTTGTATATTTTGTCTTTCATAGGAAAAACAAACAAATTGTTTGTTATATTTATTTATACTATCTAGTAAGGAACTTCCATGTGTGCCTGATAGCTTTCTAGAAATTCTTCTTTGTGGTATGTCAATAGTTTATTAATTAGCCACAGTGTTGTTGTTGTTGTTGTTGCATCGTTTGTTATACTACTATTTATTTGCTTGTTATGTTATGTATTTGTTAGCACTCAGTATCCATTATTTTTTTTAGCATGTAAATAGTACCTAGCCATCTTTCTTGTATTGAAATGTATAATGGTTCTGCCGTTGGAATGAAATAAAATAAAATAAAAATAAATAAAATAAATTATCGCGTCTCTAGAAACCAGTGATATTTTATTGAATTGTTTCTCAACTATGTACAAACATCACACTCCAGTTTGAAATTCGTCACAATTTCGTTTTTAAAATGTTTCCAAGTGTCCCACGAACAAATGAGAAACATTTAATAAACATACAGTTAATGATGTTTCTGTGAAAGATTTTACCGTGACGGTGATTTTTGTTATTGAAAGCTGGGATCGGAGCAGTACGCGTGTTACTGCTTCGGTGTTAGCCAGTCCGTTCATGTCCAATCAAAACATAATAATTAAAATGAATATTCTGATTCAAGCAAATCAACAGAATTCTAAGGCCATTGTAATAAAACCGATCCTCTACTTCATCTAATATAATCTAGATGCTAATAGCGAAATCAAGGAAATGAATTGGAACTTATGAAGGGGTGAATTCTCAAAAACTTTTTTTATGATATGAGCAACATGTTTCCAAACTAAAATCAATAATATACTAATCGTTTTCAGTTTATATATTGCGTGCTCTTGTGGCTGTAGTTGTCATTATGGTCTCTATTGGAGTTATTTACGCTACGACCAAGGTAAAAGCTGTATATTTTTTTATTTTTAAATCTAGACATATTTGTATAAGTAAATTCTTCTAAATTACTGTTCACTATTTATTATTTAGGTCTATACAAGACCGCAGTTACTAAATAAGTAATTTTATGGAAAATGGAAAAATATTATGCCTTTTACGAATTTCACAAGTGACCAAAATTGAACTTAAAAACTAGAAACTTTTTCTGTTCCCCAACAATAAAATACGAAAAATGTATTGATTTTTAAAAATTTAAATTTACGTGAACTGATTGCCATCATCCTATTAGAAACACGTTTGAGGTGGTCATTACTTCTTAGAATTTACATCATCTTAAAATGATGGGTGGATATTTAGCTATTCGATTTTAGTTTTGCTACATTGTAGACCTGCGTAGGATTGTCATGTAACTAAGATTTATTTAGTTTAGTTCTCATAAATTCTAAACAGCATTAAAGATCTAAATCTTTTCCAACTCTACCAAACCTTTTATGTTTGTTTAGAAAATCGCAATAGTTCTCAAGGTAGTTGGAGTGTTTATGGCCATCCTACATTCCTTGCAGTTTATCGCTTATGGATTAGTATTTAGTGGGGTCAGGCATCAATGGTTTCCTGAAATAATATCCTTAGGTAAGTACGATTAACTTAAGATTATAACCTGATTTATTTGGTTAAGAATGCAACTAGACATAATAATAAGCATAGAGTTAAACGTTGTTCAACCAATTGACATACGTAATTACCTTATTGGCATTTTAGTATATTATTGTAACAGGTTGATTTACTCTTTGTTTTATTTATAGACAGTTAAAGACTAAAATTCAAAACTAACACTGTACAGCATTTTTTCTTTAAAATTATGAATCCAACAGTAAGCATTGTGTAGCACTGTGATGATTCTTGAGTCAAATATTGTGTACTAGCTGGCCCGACAGACGTCGTCCTGTCCTAATGTGGTTTTATGTCAAATGCTCGTTCATTTTCAAGATGAGCTCGTTCGCATGGCTCAATCACGTCCTGGTTAATGTCCATTCGCTACGCTCACTCACCTTTAGGTTTAGCTCGTTTGTTAAGCTAACTCGCCTCCGGTTCGAAGTTCGTTCGCTACTCTCACTCACCTTTTGGTAAAAAATTAACTGTTGTCATAAATTTAAAAAAAAATATAGTGCTGCACCCTGTTGATAAACCTATTGACTTTTTAATGCTATTGAACATCACAGAATCAAATTGTTTAGTTGAGCCAGCTGTTAAGATTCTTTAATTCCATTTAAATATGAGTACTCATAAGGTTAACAAGGGAAACTCAAGAGCTACTGGGGCGGAGCCCTTTTGAGGGATCTGCACCAAAATTCACACAAACCATCCTTGAATTATCCTTAATAATCCCTGAAAGTTTTATTTCAATCTGTAGAGCGGTTTCGGAGTCCATAAAGGACAAACAAACAAACATACATACAAACAAACATACATTGGATTATATATATATACAGGGTGACAAAAAAGTCTGGAAACGGTTTAATATCTTTTTAACTAAATTCGTTAGAAAATTCAAACCTTTCACATCAACTTATATGTATGAAAACTACTTTTTGCAACCATTGTCATTATTTGACCTTCACCAGGGGACGGCCCACGAGGAGTAGGTCCATAATCTTTAATGTAAGCATAGGTTGATATGCACATCATTTTAAAGGTCTGGTTAAGTGGAGTTCATTACCGGAAACCGCTTCAAAAAAGGTTCACCCGTTACAAAATGACGGCAGTTCAAAGTTCTTGCGGAATATACCAGCAGAGGCCTTAGTATTGGTAAATACTCATAGTCAACATTAGCAGGGAAATCTGAAACCCGGTTAAATTTGTTTTGATGATTGAATACTATTAGTCTATGAGCTAGTTGACTTTAAAATACAGTTTAAGCTCTCAAGCTAATGTTTAATACTAGTATTTGCCCATACTAAGGCCTGTGCAGGTATATTTCACAAGAACTTTGGACAGCTGCCATTTTGTAACGGATGAACCTTTTTGGAAGCGGTTTCCGGCAATGAACTCCACTTGACTAACCCTTTAAAATGGTGTGCATATCAACCTATGCTTACATTAAAGATTATGTACCTACTCCTCATGGGTCGTCCCCTGGTAGAGGTAAACAAATTACAATGCTTGGAAAAAGTAGTTTTCAGACATGTAAGTTGATGCGAAAGGTTTGAATTTTCTATTGGATTTAGTTAAAAAGATATTAAACCGTTTCCAGACTTTTTTGTCACCCTGTATATATGTACATGTAGTTTATTAATCCTAAAACACCTAGACACAATTAGTTATTACCTATTTAATCAAATTCAATGTTTGAGTGAAATTTACCTTTGAGTGGATTTAGTAGCTAAACATAATACAAATATAATATTAGACTAAATATGTGAAGATGTCTGTAGGCTATAGTAATTATTTTAATTGACTTAAATCAGCTGGTAATGAATTTAGGACTATTAATTACTAAAGACACAATAATCATCTAAGCCAGTAGTTAATTATTACGACCAATAAGAGAATATCTACATATTTTACAGTGAAAAAAAAAATCTTTTGGTAACGCAAGGGATATTCTGAAGAACTAATCAAAGTTGTCTTTGCCTTAATTTCTGTCTCATCATACATTTATATTTTTCAAGTAGGTATTATACTTAAATTCATACTTTTGTAAATCAATGGGATGTATTGTGTAGCCTTAGGAGTGTAGCGTCTTCCTGCCTACCTTTTAGCAGGAGTCAATTATCCTGTACAAACACTGTCTTAATCTTGTGTCTTAATTTGTTTAACGAATTGTACATTTCATAACGACTACTTCTCATTGCAGTTATCCTCCTGTACTTCGCCGCAGTATGGTACAGCTATGGGGAATTCATTGAGGATATTGCGAACGATTTAAACTTTATCACTGTCTACGACAGCCAGACCAACCAACAGGTAACGTACCCTCTTGGGGGTGGAAATGAAAACCATCAAATGTCACCGATGAACCAGCCAAACGGAGGAAGATATCCTTTCCAGGGTCCTTCAACGATGCCCTCTGCACCTCCTTTGAACACCCCTCAGGCACCTTATGTGATACCTGGGCCTCGCAGCGCTCAGTCATTGGGAAGGCCCCAAGCTTCAACGCAAATAGATAGTGATAATCCAACAAACACACAAATGCCTACGCCGTACAAGACTTCTAAGTGGTCCGATAAAAATTAGTAAAGCAGTTGTATATTTTTTATTCTGTTAGTTTTATTTACAACTCAAAGTTGTAAGCATTTTGAGAGAGTTTGGTGTCAACATGTTTAGAGGTTACGAAAAAAAAAATACCCTTTGGCCTACATTTATGTATAGGTTTGGTGGCTTAGTAAAGTTGGGTTTGAAATTCCTAGGTGGAAAGCATTCAAGTTAAGGTACCTAGAAAAGGTAACGGGCCAATCTGATCACCTTGTTCAACATTGCGTAGTATAGGAACTCGTTTCGTAGTAGACATAGTCTGCTTCCTTCAATAGTTCCAACGCAGGTCCACACAACAGTAGAGTAATGCAAACCCACCAGCTGTTGAAGGCGTCGCTATGTGACCGTGGTTATGGTAGTTACTACTCTAAAAATTAAAATCAACAACTAAAAACTGTCAGTTCCCATAGGTGCTTGTGGGTTTTAAAGCTTGCTATTGAGATAAACAAAACTTCGAGCAATATATTCCCAAAATAAACTATTTCCCAGTGTTAGCTAAAACCCTCACGATATGACATGGTGTTGTCTACAAAATCTTAAAAAATATTACCACAGATTTTTCAGTATAGCTTATGATGTGCAAATTAAATTTCTTTGAACAAAACTGATCATTAACTGGAACACTTGAGGAAGGTGACTTCCATCTAACTACTAATTCTTTCTATATCTTGTGTCATAGTAGACTAAATTACCTTTGGTACAGTAATAGTGACGCTTATCATCAAAATTGCATGTATTTCTACTATACGCCAGTCTTGAATGAGGACGAATTTTATTGCATTTTAGCGATATCTTCATTAAAATTCATGTTTCTACTTTCAGATAATCTGGATCATTTTTAATATTTTACTTGAATAATGTCAAGTAACTAAAATACAACTGTTGTGGTTCTTTAATGGTTTAACGTTTAAAATCGATGTTTTTATGACTTTTGAACCACGGCCTCGTACCCACACCCAGGCTAACGACTTGGAAGCGTGAATCCATGTGTAGGCCCGAGGAGCGGCTCACAAAACTTTACAACAGGAAAAACCGTGGAGGAAGTGTTTCTTGTTTTTAAATAAAACTAAATCTTTATAGAAGAATTCTATTTAATGAGCTACAAGTAAGTTTGTTTACTGAAACATTGTTTACAAAAAACAACATAATAATAATTAAGAACCATATGACCTTATAGTCATATGTCATCTCCCTTCTTCACTTATAAGTCAAGTCTTTTAGGAGGATTTATTCTTCGCGATGACTTTCTACTATATACGTCTTTAACTCCATTTCCAGCTTTACTTCCCTTCACTGTACTTGCTCCTGCCGGGTTTTCAACGTCATAAAATCGTTTCTTCAAAAACCAAGAGTTCCTTCGATAGGAGTTAAAGACGTATATAGTAGAAAGTCATCGCGAAGAATAAAACCTCCCAAAAGACTTGACTTATAAGTGAAGAAGGGAGATTACATATGACTATAAAGTCATATGGTTCTTAATTATTATTATGTTGTTTTTTGTAAACAATGTTTCAGTAAACAAACTTACTTGTAGCTCATTAAATAGAATTCTTCTATAAAGATTTAGTTTTATTTCGTTAGATAAGGAACTAATTAATGTTACCTGGTCTGAGTGTTGAATCGAATATACTTCACCATGTTCATCGGAGTCCTCAGTTTTTAATGATTTCACTCGATTATTTGTTTTTGAGCGGCATACCTTAGAGAAGTGGCCAAGGATACCACAGTTAGAGCACTTCTTTTGGTAAGCAGGACAAGCTCGAGGGCCATGGCAATATCCGCACCGACTGCAAGTGAAGGTGTTATCCTCTTGTGTTTTGCTTAACGTTTCTTTTCCTTTAACTGCATAAACGTTGCAGCATTTCTTTTCAGACATTGTAGATAGCTGAAATTCTACTTCTTCAGAAGTCTTACAGATGTTTATTGTCTTTTCAAGTGTCAAATTTTCTTCATGAAATAGTTTTTGGCGAGTATTGTCATGATTAATTCCGCAAACTAGCCTGTCTCGTAATAAGCTATCCTTCATTGTTCCGTACGAGCATTTATTTGCTTGGTTAGATGCTTTAGTTAAAAAATCATTAAAAGTTTCTCCTTTACCCTGATTTAGATTGTTGAAGATAAACCGTTCGTATATGACATTTGATTTCTTTTCAAAATACGAATCAAATTTTGCAATTATATCACCCAAGCTAGTAGATTTTTCATCAATATCAAAAGACTCAAAGAGTTCAATTCCATCTTCTCCAAGTATTGTCATAAAAGTAGCTATCTGTTTCTCTAATGTCCTCTTCTTTAAATTGACAGCAGTAGTAACTTATACCACTGAAATTGTTTCCGCCATAAATTCCACTTCTTTGTCATTTCACTACCACTGGTAACTAACAGTGGCTTTGGTGGTTTTATGTTCATTAGTAAGTCTTGATTATTCATCTCATCATTATCATAATCAATGTTGTCTGTATTAACCTCTCTGAATGGAGAACATTGTCTTTCTTTATTCTTATTTCTGGTTCTTCGTTTCGGTACCATGTTTCTTGTTTTAAAATAAAACGAAATCTTTATAGAAGAATTCTATTTAATGAGCTACAAGTAAGTTTGTTTACTGAAACATTGTTTACAAAAAACAACATAATAATAATTAAGAACCATATGACTGACTTTATAGTCATATGTCAGGAAGGTTCAAGAACAACGTGCCATTTGAGAGAAACGAGCTGTAAAAACAATTTAAATAACAACAAACATTAACAACAATACATGTAAATTACTCTCAAAACTTTAACTGAATTTCAACTTACAAGTATTTCCTTATTTATTCAAAATAGTTTGATTTCAAAAAAAATTATTTGACTAAATTTTACCTTTAAACAAATTTTAATATTAACAAATTACAACAATAAATATATATATATATTTCTTTTTAATAAATGCATTTTTAACTTGGTGAAAATTAACCTTTTAGGGGCGCATTAAAAAAATTATATCAATAGAAAGGCTATTGAATAAAAAATTTGAAAAAATAACAATAAATAAACTCTATGCATTGAAAAAAAACGTTAACGTTAAATAGTCTAATTTTCATTAAAAACTTTATCTATAAAAATATAAAAATAACAAAACAGGAACTTACGGTACGACGGTAACTAGGGCATTTCAGTCACTCAGCTGGAGGTGCGATGAAACCAGGCAGAGAGGGGGGGGGGGGCGTCCCAGAGTCTAAAGGATTGGCCCCAAGTTGAAAAGGTTTCCCGCCACAGGTTGATGGTCCACCTCCTGGGCCCCACCAAGCACGCTTGGCGATCTTAATTTACTCCATTACGACGCAGAAGAAAATCCCGTCAGAAAAAAAAAACTAAACTTCTTAGCAAAAAAGAAAGCATAAGAGTAGATGGACAAAGATAATCTATTTCTGAAAATTTTCTACGTGGCAAACGTGTCTGTCGTCACGGGACCAATGACAATTCCGGGACAGGAGTAAGGAAAAAAGCGTGACGCAGAAAAACGTCATTGATGGTCGTTGGAACAGTAACATGGCGAAACACAAACTATACAAGAAACAATTTCACCATTGCATACGAGTGGTGGCATTCGATGGTGGAAAGTAGTCACGGCTCACTTTGTATTAGCCTATTTTCACTAAATCGATTGTACTTTATTTACAGTTTACTGACAAAATAAAAATAAAACATTAAAGGTACAACACATTTTCGTCGATTGAGTTTCAATTTTTAATATCTTATAAGATTTGTATAAATTACTGTTCAAATAACTACAAACTTGTATAATTACTGTATGTGTTACTGTGTTTGTTTAAATTAGTTTATTATAATTTAATTCCTTGGAGTTGGCTGAGAGGAGCCTGCTTGATTTGGTTGACTCTCCTTTCTTTTTTCTTCTTTAATATCGGTTCTATATTTCATAAGAGCTGCTTTCATAGGGTCGGGAACCCCTTGTTCTTTAGCGTGGCCCCTTTGTCGTTCAAGTGCAGACCTCATTGGTTCATCCAAAGAAGTCAAAAACTGCGTCTCTTCCTTTCTCTCTAGGTAATAACTGAACACAACGATTGCGAAGTAAAAGTTCACCACTGAAAATGTTGAGATATTAGGTTCAGAGAATATATCACTAGGCCTACTTTGGTTATATTAAAAAAATGTGTATTCGTCTATTTTTAGTAAGTATATTTTCCAAAGTGCAAACTAGTTTAGAAAATACTAACAAATAAAAATTTTATTTCGCAATGCATAGTATTTAGAAATTTAAAGAATCTTCCATGATAACGTATTAATTATGACTACAGGGTGTCCCGGAACTCTCTACCAAAATTTTAGAGCATTGTTCCTGAGTTAGAAACCTATGTAAATACCATATTTAAATTGTCCGGAAGTACTTATTTACTTACACAGCCGCCATTTTGTTTTTTTCACTTACTAATTTTTTTTCTAAAGAACGGTTTAACATACGAAAATGAAACTTGGCCCAAACATTGATGACAACTAAGCAAAGCTAGAAACAAATTATGAACATTTTCCAAATCCGTAAAACAAAATGGCAGTCATTTAAAATTTTTGTAAAATCAACGGGTTTTGAGGTTTTTAAGAAACAACACTTTAAATGGCCGCCATTTTGTTTTATGAATTTTGAAAATTTTCTTAATTTTTTTCTAGCTTTGCTTCGTTGTCATAAATGTTTGTGCAAAGTTTGAATTTCGTATGTTAAACCGTTCTTTAGAAGCAAATTAATTAGTGGAAAAAACAAAATGGTGGCTGTGTAAGTAAATAAGAACTTCCTGACAATTTAAATATGGTATTTACGTATGTTTCTAACTCAGGAACAATGCTCTAAAATTTTGGTAGAGAGTTCCGGGACACCCTGTATAGATTAGGCTACCCGAATTAGTGATTTTGCTAAGCTCGCTTTTTAAGCTTCCCTTTTGCAAATGTGTGCTTTAAACGCTAAATATCATAAAAATATTATTAAAAACA